CACAAATCAGGATTATTTGTATCACGCTGAACTAAGTGAAGCTAATCGAGTAGTCTGTTGAACCTGCGTCACAAGAAAAAATCAGTGTCACTTATGTATGGGTTTTCTTCAAGTATAACATAATGTACAACAGTCTAAACCGTACTACAGACTTCTACGGCTAAAATGACATACACAAGTACCGCACAGTAACTACGAGCGATTCAGAAACACTTGAGCCGGAAATCTCAAAGCTCATCCCAGTCCTACCATTTTCTCTGTCAAGTTCATTAACGACTTCCTCATCCTACTCACCCTCCAGCAGAAGTCAACTTCGTGGGAGATATAATTCATTACAGAGCAGTGGTGGAACTGATATGGATACGTTAAATTCATGCGAAAAAAATTATTTTCTTTCGAGGTTACTTAGGTCTTTCCAGTCTTAAACTAACTACCAGTTACCTACACGAAACTAGGCTTTACTGTGAGAATTCACGTAGTTTTACAACCAAAGCTAGCAAGCTTAATAAAGCTTTGTACTTCAAGTTCCGCTAATGAACAATTGTAAATTTGCGATTTCTACCCGATATGAGGAATATTAGACAATGCGCTGTAAAATGAAGTCTCGTCTTGAGTTGACTATTTGGCGTGTAAGAGATTTCTCTCAGTTTACTTAAGCACGCGGACCACTCCCTAGCATAAGGTGGAAAAACAAAAAATCAAGCACCGGAGTGCCACTACATCAATGAACCTCATGCACAAAAGTGATGAAGACTCTTGGAGAAGAACAGCAACAAAAGCAACTGTTGCAAAGCTGAAACAAGGTTCCAGAAGTAATACAGATTAAATCAGTGAACAGCAAAGCCGGTAAGGAGCAAATGTAGACAAATGGAGTAAGGAAAAGGAATACAACCTTGAAAGAAGAAATGAAGGAGAGCAAGAGGAAAATGAAGCGAAAGAACAAAATAATGGAAGAGCTTTAGGAAGAAATGGTCAAGAAAGCCAGTGACGAATCAATCGCAATAGTCTAAAAATTTACGAAGGAGCTTAACAATCATGTCAAAAAAACGGGGTCTTCAGAAAATGAGCAGCTGTAGAACTGAGATAGAGAAGCAGTTGAAGAGAACGATAAAAACGGTGTATGAGGAAAAGGTTGAAACCACAGAAATAAGTTTGGAAGCTGTCTTCGCCAAGGATGACCATGGTGCAACTTTAATGCTCAATTTTATCACGAATAGTTCAACGAAAAAAGATGTAAATTAAAAGTAAAGTAATGGAGGAAATTCGTAGATAAATGAGCAAGGAAACAGTTTGTAAACAAGCCACAGAAAGAAAGGAATTCACTAAAGCCATAAAAAGCATGACAAACGAAATGACTTTCAAAAGGAGCATTACTTTAAAAAACGGAAAGTTTCGAATTGCAGAAGAGACGTAGTTAATTATGCCAATTTCTCCCGACAAAGAGTTGTGTTAAGAAGCAATGGAGATCAAAAAAATGCGTTTAGAAACTGCTTTGGTCAAAGATAAACAAAGAAAGTTCTCGATGCGAATATCTGAATCAGTACGTTTAGTTTGAAGAAAAGTAGAGAATGGACGACAGAATCAGAAAAACAGTCTTAGAGAGATTCAAGCATACAAACAAAATCGAAATGATTTTGGTTGGGTTTGGAAGCCGTGAGGAATTTGAAAGAGGAAATGAGAACTGAGATGGAACTATCGAAAACTGGCAAGTATGAGTTCGCACTAGCAATGCAATTGATGGCGCTATTGAGCAAGATGAGAGAAAAAAAGACTGAAGGACAGAGAACTGAATCCAGAAATGGCTTTGGTCAAAGATGTAACTGAAATGATAAATTCCAGATCAAGTTTTTTAGCAGTTAAAGTTGCTTAAGCACTAAATTCTAAGAAAGTCACAGAGTGCAGATTCACGGTCAATATAGTGGTTTTCGTCATTAGTTTGGTACTTTTTTTTAGGCGCTTTCAATGTTAAAACTGTCCAAAGCTTCAATCACTAAAAATCGCTCTATCACTCCTAAATGAATAGAACATAAAAACTCTTAAAAGAGCTAGACTTAGCAGAACTCTTTTTAAACAGACCACTATAGCTGAATATTCTTCCATTAAAGTATTCGTTATAGACAACAGTGGCTAAGATATCGCTTCAACAAAATACGGCTAGATCACATATCGTAAGTGCATGAAAATCAAGGTACCAAAAAGAAAACATCCCAAGCGAACAGAGGTCCTGATTGACAAGACAATATAAAAAGTCCTAACATAAACTGAGACACTCTCAGTATCAAGGTTAAACATACAATGTATCTGAACTCATGGTGTGACATTTTGCGAGGGTTCTGACGTATGGAGCATATACAAGTGTTCTCATTTACGATTAATCCCACAGTTTGCTATAACAGAAAGAGCCCAGTTTGGGTCAATTAAAACGCCTCGCTAGTTTACACATTACTTTTTGTGACTTTCTAACTTGCCTTGTTTGAGTAATCAAATAATAAAATACGGTTACTAAGATCACAACCTAAACATGAATCAATTTCTTTCCTGTTAAAATACCACTAGCATAAATAAAACTTTAACTGGTTGGAACCAATATCTGCAGCAGAACAAATATATCGTTTAAAATGTTAAGTAAAACGAACCAGATCTAGCGGCGTCCCTCCCTAACAATAATAAGCAGAAAAAGAAAGCGCGTTCTCTGAGCTACCAAAACGAGAGGTTAGTGCTAGACAAGAGTCAATTTAAGAATAAAAAATGAAACCAAGAATCGCGTCCAGTTTTAAAGAAGCTGCAGGTCAGCAATTCCCACCTGTGATATCGGCTAAAAAAAAACACGTTGCTCCCCAATATAAACATCGCAAGATAGCGTATTTCTTGAGCTACATAATGGCCACCATCGATCCGGAACTGGGCAGGCTGAATGAACAAAAAAGTCCCTAGAACTGGTCCACGTCTAATACAAAAAATACAGGTGCATCACGGACTAGCTTATAACTTCATAAAAAATACTTACTCATCACCAAGAGCACAGAATAAACTCAAAAGGCATTAAACGTCAGACCAACAAAAAGCAACAAAAATCTTGAAAAAAAACATAATGCTCTCAGACTGAGTCCCGCCATAAAAAGCAAGATATGCGCAGAACAGTGATGTTGAGTTCTACCCAAACCAAACGCTCACCGCCATGTTGAACTGCGGAATCACCTTAAAACTGAGATCAACATTACTTTGTAGTTCTAACTCATCTCCTTTACTTAACTAATAAGCCAAAAGTAGCTGGCTTCACCTATGTTTCTGGCGTTCCTCACAGTTTCTCACGCCATTGCACATTTTACCCGCGTTATTTCCATCCCTGCTGCTTAATTTTGCAAACAATCACAATTGGAAGCTTCAAGCGAAATTTACTGGCAAATTCTTAAAATATCAAGTGCAGAAGCAATAATCATAAAAACCTTTAGTTTAATTTTTCAGAATGAGAGGTGATCCTGCGTATTACTTACTAGGCTCGTGATCCCAATGTCATACAACATTTTTTGTTTTTGCACAGTAAATGCAGCCTTACTGAATGTTTCAAAGTTTCAAGACTAGATGAAGAAATAGAACTTAATAATCTATTGAAAGACATCAAGTTACCATCTTGTTGTACTGCCTTAACAGTAACACTTCAATTTACTTGTTTTATTCACAAGCGAATGAGGTAAAAAGACGGTGAAAATGTATGAAGAAATCATATTCCAGAGATCGATAAGCAGGCTGATGACCTGCACCAACACTAAAGGTTCAAAAAGCAACATAGAGTGGACAAAAAAATTAAATGGAAAACTTAATGGGAAGAAAAAACGGCTTTTCCGTCGTGAAAAAGAAAAAGACGCACAGAGACAAGGTTTAGAGTTATAGTAAAAGAACGGAGCTCAATAATCAAGCGGACATAGTTACTGTTTCAAAATAAATGTATAGACTATGGTTAGATGGCATACCGGAATAAAGAAAAACAAAACAGTGCCGTTATTCGTGTTAATATAATCGAAATAAACCACTAGCAACTTATAAAGTTAATCTAATAACAAAGAAAACAGAAGAAGAGGGATCCTACAAAAGACTAGACAAAACTAATGAACAGTGCAGTGACTTACAGCCAAAAAGCAAGAATTTATTTATAACGCAAAAGTCAAGGAAATAATATCTGTGAAATTCATGGGGAATGTGTAATCAAAATTCCTCGGCAGACTATATCAAAGTTCCACCTTCCTTAGCTCCAAACACAGCAAAAAAACCAAAAAAAAAAAAAAAAA